CCTGCAGCCGCGGGCCCTCAACCCAGCTTCCAAATGGTCCAAGATCCAGATCGTGACAAAGCAGACAGGCAATGAGTGTGTGACAGCCATTGAGATTGTGCCTGCCACGCCTGCTGGCATGCGCCCTGCGGCCAACGTGGCCCGCAAGTTCGCCAGCATCGCTCGCAATCAGGTGCGCAAGAAGCGGCAGATGGCGGCCCGGGAGCGCAAAGTGACACGAACGATCTTTGCCATTCTGCTAGCCTTCATCCTCACCTGGACACCCTACAACGTCATGGTCCTGGTGAACACCTTCTGCCAGAGCTGCATCCCTGACACAGTGTGGTCCATTGGCTACTGGCTCTGCTACGTCAACAGCACCATCAACCCTGCCTGCTATGCTCTGTGCAACGCCACCTTTAAAAAGACCTTCCGGCACCTGCTGCTGTGCCAGTATCGGAACATTGGCACTGCCAGGTAGGCAGGCAGGAGTGCCCTAGGAGGTGCTGGTGTTGCGTGCGTCTGCTGGGGGACCACACGGCTCACCTGCTGTGGGGAAGAGTTGCAGGCACCATTCCGTGTTCATGTTTGCTGAGGAGGAAGCTCAGAAGAGGCTCTGGCTGCATTCAGAGACCAGCTCTCTGCTCAGGCTGAGGAGGCTCACCCCAGGGAATGTCTGAATTGGGGCTGCCTGGCCCACCTCTGTGGCCCTGCTTCCACGAGCTGCGGGGCACTGGCCTGGGTGGGCACCTGCCCCACTGTGGCCATCAGCAGTGCTGAGAGAATGGACATCTGGATGGGGGCCGAAGCCCAGGGCCCCTCAGGAGGAACAGAGGGACCAGTGCTTGGAAAAGGAGGCTTGGGATGGGAGTAGAAGGGTTGGAGTCCCCCATTCTGCTGTAATCGGTGCTTTCTGCCCCCCTGCACCCTGCATGTAGGCTCAGCCCCCTCTCCCCAAATCCCACTCCAGGGGCAGAACTCTCTGGCTGCAGCTACTTAGCCAGGTTCTGGGTGGGTATGGTGGAGGCCAGGTCCCCCCAACCCCAGCAGCACTGCCCTTGTCACATTACAACGGGGCAGCTGGGAGGTCAGGGGTTCTCTCTCAGGAACTGAGGTCTGGCCTCCTCCGATCCCAGGCTGAGCTGAGAGTGGTCCGCTTATTCAGAAGACAGCCCCCTGCGGCCCCAGCCTTAGAAGGCTGTCCCAGGTCGCACATCGAGTCAGGGTGAGGCTGTGGTGGGCGGCATTCCCATCCACCCTTTTCAAACCTCTCGCCCTCTGGCTTCTGCAGGGTGGAGGCCTGGGTCACACAGGCAAGAGGAAAGGGGTCGACCTGGTGGCTCACTCGGGTTTCCATGACAGTGGGAAGGGGGAGGTGGGCAGTGAGGTAGGCACGCAACCCCCGCATCTGCTCTCCCCCAATGGGTAGAACCTTCCTGATTGGCTGTGAGTTGGATCAAAAGACCTTTGGGCGAGGCTGAGATGGGTGCGGCGGTTCCAGTGAGTCAGCCAGGTTCCCTTCCCCAGCCCTGGTCCCTGGGGGAGATGAGGACCGAGAGGCTTAGGTGACTTGATGGCAGTCACCCTTTCGGGGGCCCTAGAAGAAATTTTCGTAATTGTTCTGCTTTTTCCATGAGCTCTGGAGAGCACCCACCACCAAGCCCCCAACCCCTGAAACCCACCAGTCCCTACAGCCTGGTCCTTCTCCCCACCTTCCCACTCCCAAACACATTTCCACAGCAAACTCCTTGGGAAGGGGCTTTTATATATTAAAAAAGAAAAGCTTTTATTGGGGGGGAAAAAGTCAGTTTATTTGATGTGTTTCTTAGTAATGGAATTGTGGGGAAGAACAAAAGCGGGCTCTGGGACTCACATTGCTTTGGGGGAGGCTAAAGCTTCCCAGAATCCCTTGTCCCTCCCCACTTTGGGCACTTAGGGGTGGGGCTGGGGAGTGAGAGGGACAAGGCAGGGAATGATTGATTAAAGCTAACGAGCAGACAGAAGGCACTGGTGGGTCATATCTCGGGCCTGGAAGAGGGAGGGCGTGGGCCAGGCCCCATGTAACACCAGGGGCTCCTTGGCATCCAGGCTTGGCCTCTAGTCCTTTCCCTTCCCTTTCTTGGCTGTAAAACAAGAAAGAAATATTAATACCATATCAACAGGCCGACCCATTGCAGACCGCCGGCTCCACAAACACCCAGGCATCAGGGAAGGAGGAGAAGATTCTGCCCCCTAGTGGTTTCCAATCAGCTGACCCGGAAGCAAGGGATGGGGCCGCCATTGTGATGTGGACATCGGACACCCCCAGCTTCCTATTTCCACTTGGGATCAGAAAACCTTCAAGTTTCCAGTTCCGGTCCTGGTCACAGCAGCCCTGGACAGCGTCAGCCTCACCTGAGAAGCGGGCAGGTTCACTCGTGCCCTGTTGGCCTCGCTGAGCTGAGTCAGGAGTGAGCTGAGAGGCCCAGGGTGGGCTGTGACCTCCTCCCAACACTAGAAAGGGCAGAGCTGACCAAATGCTGCCCGTGACTGGAGAGCTGACAAAGGCAAGCCGTTCCAGGACAACTTTCCCTGGGTCCTAAGCCAGATGCTCCAATGGAGTAGCTTGAGTTGGTCCCTATTTGGGCCAGGGAAGATTTATGTCCCCAGCATCACCTGCCGCCCCTCTTGTAGTGACCATCTCTAGACTTTTCCAGGCAGGGAAGCCAAGTGAGGCGATGTCAGGAAGCTATTGGCCAGGACTCAAAACTTAAGGTTTAACCTGGAATGGTCCCCTCACAGGCGGCGGGGGCGGGAGAGGGGGGGAGCAGACCCCTTGGGACAGCCCCACCCCCTTCTCACGCTGACCTTTGGCCTTGGCTTTGGTCTTGGGGGTGCAGGGCTTGGTGACGCGGATGGTCTCCTGGCACTGGGCATTGTAGCGCGCCTTCTTCAGCGTGCCTTGGCGGACTTTGGTGCCTGTGCCCCCATCACACGCACCCCAGTTCTCAAACTTGTACTTGCAGTCGGCTGGTGGGAGAGCGGCCCGGGTCAGCGCTGCACACCCCGCGGCCGTCCCTCCAGGGGTCTGCCCAGGCTTCGGTGAGGCTGTGCCCCCATCTCCTGCCCTCCGCCTGCGCCCCGCCTCACCTCCAAACTCCTTCTTCCAGTTGCAGGGCACCCTGCACCGGATGCGCTGGGTCTGGGCCCCGCAGGTGCCCTCGCGGAAACCCACGCCGCAATCCTTGCTGCTGGGGGTGCAGGGCCCCCAGGCCCACTCCGCACACTCGCTCCCCGGGCCGCCCTTCTTCACCTTGTCTACAACGCGCGGGGAACAGAGTTCAGGACGGGGACATGGGGAGACTCCCTCAGGGGCCGCCTTCCTGGGGTTCCAGGCTGGGAACCCAGGCGGCCCAGCCCAGAGGTGGCGGGGCCTCGCCTGCCCGTCCCCAGCCCTCCTTCGATCATCCCCCATCACCTTTCTTTTTGGCCACTGCGGAGGTCAGCGCCAGCAGGGCGAGGAGAGTGAGAAGGAGGAAGCCTCGGTGCTGCATCCTGGGGGGAGAGCGCGAGTCTGAGTCCCTGGCCCGTCCCCTTTCCCACCGGGGGCCGCGTGCAGGGCCCTCCCACCCCCGCGTGCCCCACTTTCTAGGCCCCAAGTCGGGCTGCTAGGGTGGCGGCGGTGGGAAGACTTGGGGCGGCCCCTCGCCGCTAGCCCGGACGCACCGCCGAGAGGCGACTCCCCGGGGGACGCCTCGAGCCCAGGACGCAGCTCAGACCCCCACCCCCGCCTCCAGCCCCCAGATCGGCCGCGGCCGGGAGGACCGGGGGCCGCCGCGCGCTCACTCGCTCGCTGCCCGCGCTGCTTCGCTCCCTCCCGCGCCGGGCCCGTCCCGCTCCGGCCGCCGCGGCCCCTTTTGTCTCCAGAACCGGTCTGAGCCGGTCACATGGGCCCCCGCCCCCTCTCCCCACCCCCCAGGGAAGGACCCGCCCCGCCCCCTCCCCTCAAACCCGCACCGCCCCCGACCCCGGCGTCCCCGCCCCCGCTCCCTCCCGCGCCCCTTGAGCTTCTACTCCGGCGTCCGTGCGCGCGGCCCCGCGCCCTCGCCTCTCCCCGCCGGTGTCCTCCGCGCTGCGACGGCGGCCTCTCCCGGCCCCATCTTCCGAGCAGTGGTCTCCCGGCCCCAGGCCCCTTCCCGCCCGCCCACACCGGCCCCCGGCCCACTCCCTGAGCCGCCGCCCGCTGCCCCCATCCCGGGTCATTCCCTGCCGTACGCCAGGGCCCGGGCCGCCCTCAGGCCCCGGCTTCCCTTGCCTGCCGCGGAGCCCCCGCGACTGTATAACGAGCCGGGCCCGCTCCCCTCCACGGCCGGCTCAGCCCTGGCGCCCTGCTGGCTACTGGGGAGGGGGCGCCACCTGGGGCCGTTTCCGCGGGTGGGCAGGGAGGCGCTCTCCTGTGCTGAGGGGAGTCTGGGACTCGGACCCCCAGAGAAAGTCACGGGTGCGGTCACCCAGTGCCTTTCCGGGAGCACAGGCAGGAGGGACGGCGAGTGGGGGTCCTGGGGGAGGAGCCCGCAGACCTGGATTTAGTGAAACTTGGCGCTGACACCAGCCGTCTGAGAAGTTCCAGACCTGGCCACAGCGGCGGTTCCAAGTGCCCACCCCCTCTGACCCCGGGCCTGCGGCATTGCCTCACCCGGTTCCCCCAAACCGGGAGAGCCCCCGAGGCCTGGGGGAGGGGCTTGCTCAAGGCCACAGGGCAAATAGGCCACAGAGCCCGGACTCGCCCCCGCCCCACCCCTTTCACTTTCATTGTTGTTCCCCGCGGGAAGCGGGAAGCCGGAGGGATCGGCCCCGCCCCTGGCCCCGACGTACGCGGCCGTCGGGCAGAGGTCAGGAACCGGGCAGGCCCTGGGACCCACCCCCAAACGGGAGCCGGGGACCCGAGAAGGTGCTGTCGACAGCATCCAGTTCCCCACCCCGAGGACAACCCCGCAGCCCCCGCTTTTTGTTAGACCTCCTCCGCAAAAGAAGAAAAGCAGAAAAGAAAAAAATCCACTTTACTGAGTCACACCCAGCTGTAAACATGTCACCGTGAGAGTCCCGCCCCCCACCCCCAGGCCGCACAGTCCGCGATGAAATGACGGGGGAGCGGGGAGGGTCGCCGGAGCGGGTGCCAAGCAGGGCAGGGCGGGCAAGTGCAGCAGGCGCTGAGTGTCCGGGAGGAAGCCCGGGGGAGGTGGGGTGGGGCAAGAGCGGGGGCTGAGGGCCCGGCCGAAGACCAGGGGGCCCAGGAAGCCTCTTTCCGAAGGCCTCCCTCTCTCTCCAGCCCCTCCACTCCTCGGAGGGCATCTGCTGCGGCCAGGGAGCGCCCTGACCCAGAATCCCCCCGCAAAGGCATGTCCAACCCAGCCGTGTCCTGTTCCCCTGTGAGCCTCCGGGTCCGTTGGGGGCCTCAGGGGGACAGGTGAGGCCCCCAGCTCCTGAATCCAGCCCTAGGTTTGGGCGGCTCCTTAGGGCGCGGCACGGGGTTCTTTCCCTGGGGCCTGGGTCCCCCCGTGGCCGTCCCACTGGAATGTGGCAGTGAGGTGGGCAAGGAGGGCGCTCGTCCCCTGGCCGCATTGTCCCTCCTGCTGCCCGTGGGCAGCCCGCTACACAGCCGTCTCCTGGTCCTCCCGCTGGATCATCTGGTAGTGCTGCCGGTTCTCCAGGTAGGCGGCCAGCTCGGTGTCCTGAGCCTTCTCAGCCCGCTGCCGGGGAGTGTCTCCCTGGAGGAGGGGGGAGCTGCGATCAGCAGGGGCCAGAGGCAGTCCTACCCCCTAGCAGGCTGAGAGGCAGGGGCTCTACCTCCCTGTGGCCTGGTCGGGAGGGAGGCCTCTCTGCCCACCAGCTCCTCCCCTGCTGGCTCAGGTTTCTCAGGGTCTGGACTGTGTCTTCCCAGGGACAGCCCCCAGCCCCAGCTCTCCTCTAGGACCTTGGGAAGGGTTTGGTTGGTGCCTGCATGGTCTCCCTGCCCGCCGTCTGCTCACCTGCTGGTCTGTCTTCATGAGCGAGGCCCCGGCCTCCACGATGTAGTGGCAGATGGTGCGCTGGCCCAGGGCCGCTGCCTGGTGCAAACAGGTCTCCCCGCTGGGGGAGCAGGGGCTGGCTGTGTACCCCATCCCGGCCCCTGATCCACCCATCTGTCTCCCAAGGGCCATCAGAAAAGGCACAAAGTTCGGGGCTTTGGGGCAACAGGGGTGGCCCAGGGGATGACAGATGTGGCCAGGAAGTTTACGGGCTCTGACCTGACAAAATGGGAGGGGTGGGGAAAAGGGCAGTTTCTGGGGTGACCAGGGTCCTGCACTGCCCAGATACTCACTTTTCCTCCACAGCATCGAGGATCTCTGGGGGGGCTGGAGAAGGGGAGAGGGTGGTCAGAGAGGCCTGACAGCCCCTCCTCCTCCCACCTTGGCCCCAGGCCCTGGGCTCCATCGCCCGGCTCACCGTGGTCCAGCAGGTAGCGGACCACATCCTTGCTGCCAGTGCTGACTGCATGGTGCAGGAGCGTGCGGCTCCGCTCGTCTCGGTGCATGAGGTCGCCCCCAGCTCGGTGCAGCTCCTGGAGCTGAGGGCAGGAGGCATGGCAGGGCAGGGCCTCCTGGGGCCACCCCTCCTTCCCCCAGCTCACACGCTGGCCCACAGCCGGGTACACCAGCACAGGCCTGAAATGAGTGCGCTCATACATCTTACTCCTGAGTTGCCTCTGTGGGTCTCTCTGGAGCACCAGAGGGGCCTCTCACCCCACAGCCCGTGGGCTCCCTGGCAGCATTGGTGACCAGGCCCTGGAGCAGTGCTTCCTCTGACCTGCTCCTTTCTAAGCACCAGGGACTGGTGGACTGAGCTAGGAAGCCCCTACTAGGAGCCATCTATTGTGGCCTAGACAGAGATAGGGTAAGGTGGAATGGGACGATCACTGGAGATCCCACAGAGGGCCAGAGGATGACAGGTGACAGCACCTGAGCAGGTCAGCTCTTGGCTCAACCCAGAGGCCTTGCTCCCCAGGACCTGAGGGAGCTGCTGGGGGAAGGAACTGGAGCCTGGAGCTAGTACCTTACAGAAGTCGTTCCTCTTGGCAGCCTCAATCAGCTCTTCACCTGCACGGAACACCTGCCCGTTACTCTGCAGTCGGGGACCTGGGCTTGGGTTGGTGTTTCAGTGGACAGGACTGTGCCTGCCGGGCATGTGCGCCCAGGGCTGCCCAGGGCTGGGTTGGTGCGTGAAGCTCGAAGGCTGTTTGTGTAAGGCTGTGTCTGGGCCCTATCCCCACCCCACTGAGTCTCCTGCCCCCAACCAGGCAGAAAGGAGGGGCCCCAGAGGGAGAGGCCTCACCTTCAGGGGGTGCGGCATCCCCTTGCAATGACCTGCAACAGAGCACGATGTGCTGTGACCAGCTACGGCACAGGCCAGCTGGTCGCCCTCCCCAGCCCCAACTGGGGGCGTCTTCATCCTTTCCACAGTTTATTGAGTGCCTGCTACACACCAAGCACTATTCCAGGTACTGGGGATACAGCAGGGAAACGAGGCAGAGGAAGCCCTTGCCCTCATGGAGCTTACATTCTAGTTCACGGATGCAAACAAGTCAAATAAATAAGGAGTTCTGAGAGCAAGGGTGCTCTGCAGAATTCAGAACAGGTGGTGTGGCATCCCTGCAGAAGGGGTCCTAGGAGTGACCTCTCCAAGGAGGAAACTGCCAAGCTGAGATTTGAGTGGGATGGGGGTGGGGGAGCTCTGGAAAGATGGGGAAAGAGTTGGAGGCAGTGATGACAGAAGTCTAGTGGTGGCAAAAACCTGAGGCCTCAAAGAACCAGGAGAAGAGAGTGGGGCAGGACCGTGGAGGTGAACGCAGGGAGGGGGCTGGGAGCCCAGTGCAATGACCGGGGGCCTGGGGAGAACCTGAGTTCAAAGGGATGCTGAGAAAGAAGCTTCTAGGTAGGGGAATGGCCTGGTATGCTCTGCATTTTTAGTTGGCCGTGGTGTGGAGACGGGGGTGGGAGGGCACGAATGGCTGCAGGGATGTAAGAACTGGGGGCCAGGGTGTGGCATGGCAGCCCTGGTGCCAGACAGGCTGGCGGCAGTGGGGATCGGGGGAGTGCTCGGGTGGTGGGGCAGGGGCCACCAGGACTGGCTGAAGGATGAGGTCCAGGGGAGGTAGAAGTCAGGGAGCGAGCCCAGGTGGATGTGAGGCTGCTTCCCCAGGGAACTGCAGGGCTGAAGGCGTCAGGGCGGGGGGGGGGTGGCCTTTGGCCAGGTGCAGGTTGACACCATTTAGTCAACTGGTGGAGGGGCTGAAAGCAGGGATTCCGGAGTCATCGGCTTACATGTGGGACTGAAAGCCGGGGGCTGGAGGAACAGGACACCAGGACTCACCGGGGTGTGGGTGAGCAGGGTGAGGTGGGGAGAGGGGAAGTGGGGGTCGGGAGGTCAGGCCGGGCCGATGCCCCCAGCAGCTCAGGGTCCAGGATATAAATCTCATCCTGTGCGATCTCAGTCACATAGTTGAGGTGCTCCTGTGGGGGGGAGGTCAGGGCAGGAGGTCAGGGCACCTGACGGAGGGGGCCGAGGGGCAGCAAGGCTGGCAGACCTGGAGAAGCCTCTGCTGTGAGCACAAACACCGAAAAGAGGTGGCCAGGCAAGGGGCCCTGCCTGTCCCTCTCCCACTCCTTCCCATTCCTGATGCCTCCTCCGACTGCCCAGCCTTTACCAGATGAGCTGGCACCTGGCCAGAGTGCCTTTGCTTCTATGTCTCCTTAGATGGCTCTGGGCTTCTAGGCCCTCCTGCCCACTCAGCAAGCCTTTGCTAGGTACCGGCTGCCTTTCCGGCTGGCACCACGCTGTACTCTCCAGTGTGGAGGGCAGGGCCGCAACCCAGTCTGTGCACACACAAGTGTGAAAGCCCTCAGAGGCATGAGGACAGAGGTGAGCCCATCAGGGGAGCTAACAGGGAAGGCACCCCAGGAGAGGCGACCCTGGGGCCCGGAACCAGCTGTGGCTGGAGCAGGCCTGCAATCGCTCACCTGGGCTCGGTCGATCCTGTAGAAGCGGCTGGCAGTGGTGGCTGTGGGAGAGAGGGCAGCCGAAGATCAGGGAGTGCCATGTCCAGGCCCAGGTCCTCTGCTGCCCCCACCTGGGTTCCCCTAGGGAGGGGACAGGAAACAGCCTGGCACTCTGGGAGTAAACTCACCGTCCAGGAAGCACCACTTGGGGGACAGTTTCTGGCATGTCGGGGACTTGGCTCCAGCACCATCGGGCTCCTGTTGAGAGAAGCAAAGGCCAGGCTGGGACCGAGTGGGGGCCAGGGAGGGAAGGGAACTTGGAGTAGGGTCACCAGCACAGAGGAGGCTCTGCAGGGCGAGCTCGCTGCGGGAGGAAGGGGCATGTCCTCACTTCTCACCAGCCTCTTGGTGGGCACCTGGGGAAGCCCCCACCCCTTACCTGTTGCAGTCTCTCGATATGGGCGCGGCAGAGCTCTAGGTCACTGTCTCCTGGGACCACCACAGTGCCCAGCGGCACGGCTGGAGGACAGAGCACCTGTCAGCAGCTGGCTGCATCCCACGGCCCTGCCCAAGGGGGCCCCGGCTGCCTCAGCCCCTCCTGGCCACCCTGCCAGACCACCCCACTGCACTCACAGGCCTCCTTGAGCTGCTCCTTGTCGTAGTGCAAGGCCTCGTAGTCATGCATGCTGACGCGACTCACCTGGATGCGCAGCTGCTCGGGCACCGGCTGCTGGCTGTCGGGCAGGGCCGGTAAGCGGGGGCTCAGCAAGGGCCCTGCCTGGGTGCCACCCTCGGCCCGGCACCAAACCACGTGCCGAGAGAAGGTCCAACCCCACTCCAACACCCCTGGGGCAAAGGGACAGTCAGCCCCTTTTACAGATGGCGAAACCAAGGCCCAGAGAGGGCAGGCTCTGGCCTCGGCGCCCAGGGCACGTGGCGGGGTGGGACGTACTCGCTGTGCAGGGGGGCGGCGCTCCGCCGCTTGGCTTTCTGCACCATGGTGGCCTGGTTGCGCAGGGCGATGCGGATGCGTGAGGCTGCAAGCTTGCAGGGCTCGCCGTCCACCTGCACCGGGATGGCCTTGGACGTGGTGAGCACCACCTCACGGCACTGCGTCAGCCGCTCGCCATGCCCGCCCACCTGCAGCGCGGCCTGTGGACACAGGAAGCTCGGGTCAGATGGCACCAGGGCTGGGGGTGGCGGGCCCCAGGCTCTGCTCCTTCCGAAGCAGAAGCTCTAGCCAGAGAACAAAGACCCCTGGTCAGAGGGCAGAGGGGAGGGCGAGACCCTAGGTGGGGAGGGGAGGGGGCAGAGGCAATGAGGGTGACTCCTCAGTCAGAGTGGGGAGTGAAGGTATCCCGAGGCATAGCGAGGAGAGGGGGTGGGTGCCGCTCTCGAGCCAGAGGAACGAGACAAAGAAGGAAGGTGAGGATGAACTAGGCTGCCGTGGCCCATGGAGGCGAGTGTGGATGACCCCTTCCACCTTTGGGCTGTGCTCCCAGGCACTGTGGGGCCAGCACCCACTCACCAAGGACGTCATGGTGAAGCCAATGACCTCGAGGTAGCCGTCGTCATGCCGCTGGGGCTCAAAGTCGTGGTGCTCCCCAGGGTGGCCCCAGGGCATGGTGCCTGCACAGTACCTGCATGGGCGGGCGATGACATGGGCCTCAAAACACAGTCTCTACAGGAGAGGACAGCAGGGCCCCATCCCCCCACCCCAGGAGGCCCCTCCTCACCTGGGGATGTTCAGGAAAACAACACACTGGGGTTTCAGGTCCTGGATCTTAGGAGTCAGGTCTGTTCCATCACACTAGAGGCGGGCGGGGAGGGTGTTGAGGTGCATGTGCCAGGTGGCCTCCCTCCCTTCCGGCCCGCCTACCCGCGGCAGCCTGGCCCCACTCACCACCACTCGGATGTGCTTGGCCAGGTCCTTGGAGCTGCCCATCAGGAAGTCGGAGAAGGCTGTCTGTGAGAGACAGAGAGCGTCACCATCTGCTGACGAGATCTTTCCTTACCAGCACCCGGCAAGGCTCCTGGGGCCTGGTGGACACAGGTGGGCAGGGGCACGGATGGTAGAAGAGGTGGGCACAGGCGGGGGTGCAGACCCACTCACCCCAGCGTAGAACATCTTATTCCGAAAGCGGCTGTTGAATTTCTCTGGGTTGGCCTCTGGGTGGAGATAAGCAGGGGGGCCAGTGAGTCACCCCAGCCTGCCCAGGTGGGGTTGGGGGAGGGCTGGGATGGATGCCTTCACTGGCAGGAGCAGGGTCTGACCCTCCTGGGGACACTCCTGTGCCCACCCTGCCCTGGCCTCAGTGGGAGGCTGCCAACCTCGAGACTCGTGGAACTCCAGGGTGACATGGGCGTCAAAGCCCAGGCTGAAGTAGTTGTTGAAGACATCCAGGGGCAACTGGAAAAAGGTCAAGGGACCAAAATGAGGGCTGGGCCTCACAGATGTCCCTGCTCCAGGGGCCCTGTGTGGCCGAGCCAGCTCAGCCCATCTGTTCACAGGCCTTCCCTGGTCAGCAGTGTCCGCCAGGGCTCAGCCCAGCTCACCTGCTGTCAGGCGCAGCCCTACTCTGCCTGGTGGCTCCTGGGGGATTTCCCTGCATGCCTGGCAGCATCTCTTCCCTGTCAGCTCCCCTAACACTTCTTCCTGACATGCCATGTGGAACACGACAGTGGAGCTTGGTTTTGCTCACTGCTGAGAGTAGTGCCTGGCAGGTAGCACGCGCTCAGTGCATGTTTGTGGAATAAAGCAGCATCTTCTGGCCAGGCGTGGTGGCTCATGCCTGTAATCCCAGCACTTTGGGAGGCCGAGGCAGATGGATCACCTGAGGTCAGGAGTTCAAAACCAGCCTGACCAACATGGTGAGACCCCATCTCTACTAAAAATACAAAAATTAGCCAGGTGTGGTGGCAGGTGCCTGTAGTCCCAGCTACTCAGGAGGCTGACGCAGGAGAATAGCTTGAGCCTGGGAGGTGGAGGTTGCAGTGAGCCAAGACTGCACCACTGCACTCCAGCCTGAGTGACAGTGAGACTCTGTCTCAAAAAAAAAAAGAAAAAGAAAGAAAAAAAAAATTAGCCAGGTGTGTTGGCACATGCCTGTATATCCCAGCTACTCAGGAGGCTGAGACAGGAGAACTGCTTGAACCTGGGAGGCAGAGGTTGCAGTGAGCTGAGATTGCACCACTGCACTCTAGCCTGGGAGACAGAGCAAGACTCAGCCTCAAAAAAAAAAACAAAAAAAAAAACAGCATTTTGTGAGGCAAGTACTATTATTCCCATCGTACAAGGAAGAAGTGGAAACTGGAGAAATGAAGAGACGTGCCCAAGATCCCAGAACCAGCAAGTGGGAAAGTGGGACCCAGTCCCCAGTGGCCCTCCCTGCCCCACCCCACCCTGGTCAACTTACCCGGTCGGTGGCGCCTTCATCTCGGTCCTCAGGCCCTGCCTCCGGGTTGGGCTCAGCGTGGAGGTCCCAGCGGTCCAGCTGTACCACATTCCCCTCCTCCACATGGGAGAGGATCTTGGACACAGGCTCATCTGTGTAGCCCTGGGGGAGGAGGCAGGGACTGAGCCCTCTGTGGCTGGAAAGGCCCCAGCTGCACCCCCCTCCTATGGGTGCTTACCCCACCCCAGTTGAGGGTTCGGGCCAAGTCGTTGCCAGTACCCAGGGGCAGGATGGCAACAGGGGGCGGCGGCTTCAGGCGTAGCTGGTCCAGGGTGGAGAGGATCCAGCCCACCTGGGGGAGGGAGAGCAGAGGCAGGTCAGGCCCACAGGGATCCCGGCTTCAGGCCCAGCCCTGGTGCTCGGCTGGCCCATGCAGGGAGCTCACCGTGCCGTCGCCCCCGCACGCCAGGATCCGCAGGTTGTGCACTTTGCGGTACATCTCCAGCCTGGGCTCATGGGAAGATGGCAGTGGGGTCAGGGGATGTGTGCTGTACCCCAGGAGTGAGGCCAGTTTCCCCCCACGTCCCCCACAAAACCTTGGCAAGTACTTACGCCTCCCTGGGCCCTCCCTGGCTCAGGTCGAAGACTTGTCGGGGATTGAGATACCAGAGGAAGGACTGGATGATCTTTGCACCCTGGATGGGACGGGAGCCGAGAGACAGGCAGGCAGTGGCGGGACGAAGTGGGAGAAGCACAGGGAGAGGGGCGTGACTGTGGGAACCAGGGCCAATAAGGGGTGAGGGGTGAAGAAAGGACAGGATTTTCTCAGGATCCCTGGGAAAGAGGGATTGGGGCAGAAGCCAGAACGAGCTCTGGGAATAGCTGCTGGCAGACAGGCTGGACCCCAATCCCCGCCCGAGCCCTCAGCTGAGAGGCAAGGCCACGTTTACCTGGTTGCCCCCACTCTTGGGGTTCACAAACACCAGCAGAGGCTTCATGAGGGGGGAGGGGGTGGGTCTGATGATGAAGGGTCTCCAGCGGCCCTCCTGGGAGACAAGGCGAGAGCCTGTAAGCTCCTTCCTGTCCAGGACACCCTACCATCATCCTTAGCAGGCCCCTTGGGTGACTCTGTCCCCCCTTGTGTACCCTCATGTACCACCTCTGGGCCAGATCTTACCAGGCCACAGGGCAGAAACTGGCATCTAATCCTGCCCTCCTCAGAGGCCCCAGAGCCCACGCGGACCCCTGCCAGCTGGCAGCATTAGCCGGGGGTGGAAGGTCTGTACCCTGAGCAACAGACCCCTCTCTCCGGCTCCCCTGCAGCCTCTGCCCAGCCTGGGACTGACCTCAGGCCCTTTCTTGCTGGACTTCCTCTTGAAGGATGCCCTCTTCTTCTTCTTGCTTGCTTTCAGGGTATTCTGCAAGGGAAGCAGGGGCATTGGTGACAAGGTGGGCAGGCTGGGGTGGCTGGCAGACCCCAAGTACGTGGGGGGCATCAAAGGTGCAGGAAGTACTCACCTGGGGCCTCCGTGCACGGAGGATCCAGGTGGGCGGGATGACCACGGCCGCGTGGACCCCCAGGGAGCACGGCTCCTCAATCTGCTGCAGCATGAAGCAGGAGACCTTGCTGTGGTACTGAGGAGAGTGAGGGGTAGGGCTCAGTGGGACCGTGTTCGGACTCGGGGACCCAAACCCAGCAGTGCAGGGCATGGCCCTGGGGGCGGGGGCACCACTCACTGCCTGCTTGCACCATGAGCAGCTGATGGCCACAATCTCCTTGCTGTGGAAGGTGAACTTCTGCTGGAATCCCTGAGGGTAGACAGGACAGATGGGCACCAGGGCAGGCCTGGAGCGGCAGACCCAGTCCCTCCTGCTGCCAACCTCTATCCACCCAGAGACAGGGCCTCGCTATGTTTCCGGGCTGGTCTCAAACTCCTGGGCTTAAGCAATCTGCCTCAGCCTCCCAAGTAACTGGGAACAACAGGCATGTGCCACCATGCCCAGCTCTGAACACATTTTTTGTTTTTGTTTTAAGATGGAGTTTCACTTGTTGCCCAGGCTGGAGTGCAGTGGCGTGATCTCAGCTCACTGCGACCTCCACCTTCCAGGTTCAAGCGATTCGCTTGTCCCAGCCTCCTGGGTGGCTGGGATTACAGGCGCCCACCACTATGCCCAGCTAATTTTTTGTATTTTTAGTAGAGATGGGGTTTCACCATGTTGGCGAGGCTGGTCTTGAATCTCCATCACCTCAGGTGATCCTCCTGCCTCAGCCTCCCAAAGTGCTGGGATTACAGGCATGAGCCACCATGCCCAGTCTGAACACATTAAAAAAAAATATATATATATATATATATATATAAAATAAGCCTGAAGAGCAGGGCTGCTTAGCCAGGACCCCCTGACTCCCTGAAGTTACCTGCACAGCACCGTGTGCATACTGCAGGCTAACTCCTGCCTCACTCGGATTTTCCCTCCTTCCTACCCCCGAGGCCTGACCAGGCCCCCATGTGCTCTTAAAGAAATGTACTGCTGCTTCCGAGTACCTATCACATTCATTCCCTGTTCATCCCACAGGCTGTTATGAAAGGCCTGTAGTGGGCCAGGCGCTGAGAATCAGTGAAGTGAGCCTCTCCATCTTTGAGAGCCTGCACTTACTGAGGGAGGCGGGCAAGAAGCAAACAAGTAAGTGAACAAAACAACTGTGGACTGTGTTAGGCGGTCGCCTGGAAAGCCTGGCTTCAAGCCACACTGTCCTCAGGAGGGTGGGAAACCGCTGCCCAGCTTGGTGCTTGGCACACAAGTATCCACGGAGTCACCGAATGAGTAAGTCTATACAATTCTCCAAAGGGCCACTTGCAGCTTCAAAGCAGGCCAGGCATGCCACATCGGAAGAAAACTTTCCTCCCTGCTCTCCTGCTAAGCCCAGAGACCAAGAGCAGGCCAGGGTGTTTGGGGACTGAAGGCACTGCAGCCAGGCTGAGAGTCAGCCCTGGACTCTGCACGCCAGGGTGCGGTCAGTGATGGGCAGGCCACATTGGCCACACAGCCTGGGCTCAGGCCCAAGGGTGCAGGTGGCGATTTCCTCGGGCAGGGCCTCTCACCTTCCCACAGTGCCGACACTTGCCGTCCTGGCGTCGTCTGTGTACCCAGTGGTGCCGTACAAAGGTTGGCTGGGGGAGAAGTGGAGAAATTTCACCAGGTGAGGGGTGGGCAGGGGCACAGCCCTGAGGACGGCCCACATGGCTCAATACATCGAAGGTGGGGGCTGCAGGAAGCTCTCTGCAGTCCTGCACATGAGTGGAGGAGGGGCTGAAGACTCTCTTCATGGCCCAGGGGAGGCTCAGAGTCAGAGGAGAGCCGGAGAAGGCTGGGAAGCACCAAGAGGCACAAGCTGTCCCACCCCCTCCGCAGGCAGCGCTAGTTAGGCCTCCGCATGGCAGAACTCAGACCTCAGAGAGCAGCAGCCTAGAGGGAGCCGAGCCCTCTGGTGGCACTCCGGAGGCACTGCACAGAGGCCCATACCAGAATCTTAGGGTGGCCCTGTCCCTGAGCACCCTACCCTGGACACTTACCTCGCGCACGTTCCTCGAGCCTGATTCACGGAAGGACGGCTTACAGCGGAAATTTATCTGTGAAACACAGCAGTGACCACCAAAATGTCAGAACCTCCCTTCGGGGTCAGGTATATGGTGACTTCCTTTAGGACAACCCAGAGTCATCCTCAAAAGGCGGGGATACCCCCATATCATCCCGAGAGTCCTTGAAACACGAGACACCTCCTGTGAGAAGCCCTCCTGCCTCTCTGCCTCCTCCTCACTAGCCAGAGGGATCTTTCCTTCTTCCACCCAGCACCCAGGATGAGGGGGAGGTTGGGAGCTTCGGGTTTGTCCCCCCAACTAACATGGAACCGTGGTTTGCTCATCGTTCTCTTCTTTTTTTTTTTGAGACAGTCTCACTCTGTCGCCCAGGCTGGAGTGCAGTGGTGCAATCTTGGCTCACTGCAACCAACACCTCTCGAGTAGCTGGGATTACAGGTGTACGCCACCAAGCCTGGCTACTTTTTCTAATTTTTAGTAGAGATGGGGTTTCACCATGTTGGCCAGGCTGGTCTCAAACTCCTGACCTCAGGGTGATCCACCTACCTCGGCCTCCCAAAGTGCTGGCATTACAGGCGTGAGCCACCGCGCTCGGCCGCATCCTTTTCTTCCTTGCCCTCTGGCACTCACGACCTGGGCACATGCAGCCAGCCTGGTTCTCGCATGCAGACTTGCACTGCCTGGCCCCTGGAGACCTTTAGCTAATCTGTGGAACCCTAGCTCGGTTTCCACCTTAGATGATCAGTGTACAGTGCTTGGGGCTGCATTTCTATTTCCTTTCTCATAACTGTCCCTACTTCAGCCTTATTAGAGGTATAAGGAAGTCTCACTTTACAATTCAGGGGCTGGGGAAAGCAGCCCGTGTGAGCCTGCCTGAGCCATTCCTAGTCTTACAGTCTCTCTCATATGCTGGCCTGGGTTTCTGCAGGCTGGGGAGCCCTGCCCCTCCACGCGAACCCTTCTGCGCCTGGCCTTGACCCACCTGCCCAGTGCTGCCTCCACTTCCCTCTAGAAGCACAGTGCCCAGACATGCCCCCAGATGCAAATGCACAGTGGACAATGGCCCTTGGGGAAAGGTCTCCACAGAGGCGGGGTGTAGGGGATCCCCCCAGCCACAGCTGAGTTATGAAGCTTCAATGAAGCAAATCAATGGCCTCTTCTAAGCGCTAGTTTGGACATGGGAAATGGTAAAAGGGCCACCATTCGTCAATTCATTCCATTGAGTGATATTCAACGAACCCACTAGGTGCCAGGTTTGTTCCAGGCAGTGGGGATACAGCAGCTAATCAGTGAGAAGCCAGGATTCGAACGCAGTTATTTGGCTCCAGGGTCCTTGACTCTTCACCCCCGAGGGCTGGGTCGCTCCTGGCAGGCCATGTTTGTATAATGTGTGGGTGTGTGTGCTGAAAGGGCCTCAGCACCCAAAGGGCAGGGGGGGAAAGCTGAGCTACCCACCCACCTTCTCCAGCTGCTCGATGCAGGGCGTGTGCACCACAATCTTGCAGGCTGCGCACTTTCTTCGAGACACTGACTTCTGCTGCAGGACAGGAAAGAGAGGGCCCCTGAGGCACCAGGTAAGTCTATCTCGGAGGCTGCCTGCCTCAGCACAGCTGCCCTCTGTGTGCACTGGGAAGCCCCAGTCCTGGCGTCCAGACAAAGCCCCTGCACCCCTCACCATTCTGGGGCGACCCACAGCAGGGGTGCTAGGGAGCGGGCTTGATCCCACCTTCCCGGAAAAAGGCAGTGGCTGTTGGCTCCACCAGCAGGGGGCAGCATGCCCCAGCAAGCACTCACCAGCATCCTGGCTACACAATACTGCTCCCCAACGTAGCAGAAGTCCCCGGACACGTTGGTCTCGAACCAGATGTGCTCCCCATATGTCGCTGACTCCTGGCCATGGGATGGGCTTGCTCAGCGCATGCTGGCTGCCCAGCCCTCCCTCCCATCAGCCCCTGCCCACCCGCCCTCTCCCAAGACAAACCCGCTCCAGCGCCCTGATCAACCCTGCTCTGTTCCGTCTGCCCCACTGTCCCAACCCTTCCAGGCTTGGCTCTCCCAGCTGCCTGGAGTGCCTCCACCCTCCAACTGCACCTTGGCCAAGAGCCCAGTGGGGCTGGGACCCAGGGGTGTTCAGACACTCACGCTCCAGTCCACTGTGCTCCGGATCTGCCGCTCTGACTCGCTGCACGGGGCCCCAGGGGTGGGCGGAGGCGGGGCCAGGTGCTGGAGGCCCGACTTAGTGATGGCTTTCCTACAGAGGAGAAGACAGCTGAGGAGGGGGCTGAGCACTTGCTGACCCTACTTCTTCCCACCTCCTGGGGCCTCTGCCCTCTCCATGACCTTGGCAACAGGGAGGGCGGAGGAGCCTCCCAGCAGCCCCAGAGACTAAGGCTCCCTGCAGGAGACATGGCCTTTTGGGGTATGCTGGCTTCAGAGCACTGCCCAGAGTGTTCCCAAGTGGGAACACTTGGGAAGAGCTTCAAGGCCCTTGCCCAGGCCAGACCCACAGGAGATCACACCACTCGCCCTGCTGGCCACAGCTATACCTACGCGAGCAGGGCACTCCAGGCCTGGGGTCCCGCTGCCTTGCGCCGTAGGGCTACCTGGCGCCTGCGGGACAGTGGGCGCACACGGGTGGGCAGCACGGTGCTGGCGGTGGTGCCTGAGGCTCTTCGGCCCCCAGGGCCAGGGTGCTGGCCTGAGGGCCGCCGCTGGCTGAGGCGCCGATAGTAGCCGTGTAGGCCCCAGAGAGCGTTGTCATACACGGCTTCCGCAGGGAGCAGGTGGGAGGAGGCTCGGCGCAGGTAGCGGGGCAGGGGCGACAGCAGCCTGGCGCCCTGGGGTGGGGATGGCCCTGGTGTCTTGGTGCCTGTCTGGACGGCGCTCCACGCCCCAGCTGCCACATCCTCCTGGACACCCTTCTCCTCCTCATTCATGCCCACAAGCCCGGTCAACAGCAGGGGTGCGCCAAGAAGCTGGGCCCCCACAGTGGTAGGCTGTGGAGTGGGCACCTTATCCACGATGAAGCGGGGGTTGCAGGAAGGGGGCACAGTGCTGGAGCGCCGGCGGCTGGAACCCCGGGCCCTCACCCCACAGCTCAGGAGGCAGCCCTGGAGCTGGGCGCTGGAGCGCCGCCGCTGTGCCAGTGAGGAAGAGGCCTGCCCAGCGGGGGAGCGACGCCGGGCCTTGCCCGTGGGCAGCCCCACAACGCTGGGCCGCCGCTGCCCCTCTCCAGGGCCTGGCACCTTCCACTGGAAATGTCTCCTAAAGAAAGTCTCCATGGCAGGCGGGTGGCTGTTGGGCACAGAGACCGGGGACATCAGGAGCTGGACCAGGCCATGGTCTGCCCTGCGTCTGGGAGCCCATTCACAGCCTCTGCCCCATGAGGAGGGAAGCAAGCCCCGAGGGAGGGAGGGGTCACTGCAGCCTCTGACCTCCATGTGAGGGTCCCAAGGGTGCTCAGGGGAGCCCAAGTTTAGAGCTGTTGGGGCACTGATGCTCTCCCCCGCTGCACCCTAGGGAGCCCTGGAGTCGTAGGTAGGTGGGTGCTTCAGGCTATCCCTTCTTCCCCCATCCAGGCACCAGAATCCACAGAGCCCTGGCCCTAAAGGCCTCCACCTGCCCCACCGGAAGCTGATGGAAAAGAAAACAAAAAGAAAATGGGGAGTCGGTCTGTCTGGATGGACGGTGGGGCCCAGGGCAGGGTTTCCTACTCGCTGGGTCTTTGTTTTGCCACCAACATGGGGGAGCAGGTTAGGTGTCTCCCCCGGGACATGGCACAAACCAAGCTATAACAAAACGAGGCTTTCTGCAAAAGAACTCAGTCTTGACAGGACCCCCAGAGTCTCTTGGCCCCCAGCCTTGGGGTCAGGCTGAAGGTGACTCCTGGAAATGGAGAGGGTCTAATGTGTAGCTCAGGGGAGACTAGGTCTCAGGGAACTGCAGAGTCGCTGTCTGGCTCACCCTGGGGAGGGGCTGCTCAGTCTTCCTTTACCCAGGGGACCGTGACAATAGGCTTGGGCCAAAAGCAAAGCCTTCTGGATTCTGGGTGTGTGCGTGCCTGTACGTCTGAGGCACTGATGGTAAGAACTTTCTGGTGCTCACCTGCTCTGTCTCACCTTTCTGAAGGGACAAGAATGGATACCCCAGGGTGAAGCTGGGTGATGCTGGGAAATCATTCTGACTCTGCTGCTGAGGGAGCCTGTGACTGGACATTCTTCTGCGGCCCTGATGCTGGATGCTCGGATACTCACAATTTCAAATGCTGCAGGGAGGCAGGAGCTGTGGGCATCATCCTAGCTCCCACCTGGACCTGGTCTCCCCGGATCCATCCTGAACTCATGCTCTGCTCCCTCTGCTAGCTCACCTCCGCCCTGCCTACCCTTCTTCACAGCCAGCATCGAGCTCCTGTGCCCTCACCTCTCCTAACATTAGGGGAAGGGCAGCCTGCCTGGCATGGATCAGGGTGGCAATGCCGCCAGGTACCTGAGGCTACGTGTGCCCCACAGCAGGTGATCTCCTGGGCCCTGGTCCTTGTCCTGCTCCTGGGGAGAGACTGGTGGGGGATGCATCCTAGCCCCGGGCAGCCACAGAGGTCAAGGTCACAGCCCTGGGACAGTGCTGCCTGGGGCTGACAGAAGCCTTGTGGTCCCCTGAAGGCTGGCATTAGTTAGGCATGGTGGGTGATGCCCTGGATGCACCATGGACAGGAGGGAGGATGAAGGCAGTGATGATGGGCTGGAGGAGTCAGGCCCAGGTCACACGTCTAGCACCTTCTCCTTCCATACACTGCACTCTGATTTGCTACTGCCCTGCAGGTCTTGAGCAGCTTCAGGCCAGGTGCAGGGGTGTTGAGGGAAGAGACGGACACGGTGGAGGTGCCTAGGGAAGCAGAGTTCTGCACGGCTCAGCTCTTGGTCTCTGCCTATTGGAGTCTGCAGCTGCCTCAGATGACGGGAGGTCAGGGCAGTGCTCTATGACCCCAAATGTGCCCCATTCAGAGCAGACCGCCTGGGCAGGAGGGAGCTGCAGGGGCAGGACGGCAGGCATGGGCGGACAGTGCTGGGCCTCCCCCAAAATCACCAGTGTCACGGCTGACATTTACTGAGCCCCTATGTGTCAGGCACTGTGCTAAGCCCCTGGCAAACACAGATCATTTCATCAACCGTAACCCCAATGAACAGGCACTGCATCACACTGTTGCTGATGAGGAAGTTGACGCAGAGGTGGCCTGTCTAGGGTCCCCGGCCAGTCAGTGTGGAGCCAGTGCTGCAGCCCAAGTCTACCTAATGGCAAAGCCTGCGCCCCAGAAATGGGGTGGGTTGCAGGGTCCTTCCTCTGGAACATGAGGCTGGGATGGGGTAGGACAGGGAACCAGGTAGGGAATAATAACGAACGCCTGCTATGTGACAGGCCCTGGGCTAAGTACTTTATCATCTCATGTGATCCTCACCACAGCCCTGTGAGGTAGGCAGGACCCACAGCTCCATTCTAGACACGGAGAAACTGAGGCTTCAAGAGGGCCAATAACATGCCACGGTCCCATGGCCAGTCAGCGGCAGAGTCGGGACCTGAACCCAGGTCTTCCCGACCTGGGACCTACTTTGTGTCGGGGAAGAGGAGCCTGAAGGCCCAACTGCCCCCTGCCGTCAGGGCACTGACCTACCAGCCCTCCCCAGGGTGTCAGCTTTCCCCGCCTGCCTGGTCAGGCCGCCCTGTGACAGCTGCCCAGCCTGGAGGAGATTAGTCACCCGGACACACCGCCTGATGCTAGTGTCACCCAGAAAACAAAAGGCCACAGTCAGTGGGGGGAGGTGCCGCTGCAACCGTGGGCGGCGGTGAGGGCTGGGCCCAGCTTGCGGCCCCAGACCTGCGCTGACAACAGGGACCAGGACCCCCTCGAGAGACAAGGGCAGCTGACATATGGTCCTGTGGTGCCCGGCTCCACACACTGCCAGGCAACCCAGGTCCACATCTGTCCAGGAGTCTCCTCAGTGGCCGATGGTGCCGTTCCTCCCAGCAGAGTAGGGTGGGCAGGGCCAGCAGTGCTATGTGACTGTGTGCAAGTTGGCCCCTCACGGGCCTCAGTTTCCCTGTCTGACTGGGGAGACTGTCAGAGTGGCTGAGCTATTTTGCCACAGGCTCTCCTGCTGGGCACCCATGCCTCCGTGCTCCCATGCCCCTCCCTGCAGGCCTGTGCTTCCTGTTCCTCTGGTCTCCATAGAAACCTCTGTCCCTGGTCAGCAAGAGCCTGACTCCTCACTTCCTATCTCGGCTGGGGTTTCTCCTGGGCCTTGCTGGAACCCGCCCTGGGACTGAGCCTCTCCGATAGCACAGCTCTGCGTGACAGTGTCTTCTCACCTCGTGCTCTTGGTCACCCCCAACTCACCACACAGTATGTGCAAAGGTCACCCTGAGGGCTTCAACACCAAGAGCACAGCAAAATGGCTGTCCCTTGGTCTCCGGGTGGGGAGCCTGTCACACCAACGGGGACAGGATGGGAAAGGACTCAGGGGACCCCATCAACCTCCGGCTCTGGGGCCTGACAAGGACAGGGCCTGGGAAAGGACAGAGGAAGTCATGAGGCAAGACCAGTGGTGTCTGGCCGTGCACCCTTGCTGGACAGTGGCTGCAGCTGTGGGCAGCCGAGCTGCAGTGGCTGCCATGGGGGCGGGCAGGCTGGAGAGCTTCATCGGCTACTGCTACAGCAGACAGGACACCCACCCTCCAGAGACCAGGCCATCTCACGCCTTATGCTAGTTTCAAGGGCGCTGGCATCCTGAATCTGCCATTGCCACCCTAAGGCTGATTTACTAACCTTTCTGAGCCTCAATTTTCTTATCTGCAAAATGGAGCTCACACCATCTGGTTCAGAAGATTGGCATAAAGGAGGTCTGGATGCGATGACTGAGGGAGAGTGCCTGGCGATACCTGGCAGACAGCAGGGGCCTGGCAGGGCCTACACCCACCACAGACACCAGAGCATGTGATTGTGCTACCTCCTGGCGTTTGTTTGCCCACAGTGAGGCCGGGAACCCAGAAAGGGAAGCAGGAGTGCCCAGGGTGGCCACCACCCACCGCATGAGGAACAGAGCTGGCCGCAGGTACCACCTGGGTATCTGCTCATGTCGTGAGGAACGCACTCTCTGCACCTGGTACCAGGCCTGGCCTCCTGAGTTGCTCTCACAGGATACCCCATGGGACTGACTCAGAGCGCCCACTCCACACCCTGGGCAGGGCCTCGTCCGCCTTCCGCTCCGTGAAGGCTGGGCATGGTGCATGGCGACCCCACCTCCAGCAGCCCCAGAGCAAGGGCCTGCAGCTGCCTCCCCAGAACCGCCTCGGCTCTGCTCCCACAGTCCCTGGGTCGGAGGGAAGGAGGTGGGGAAGCGGGAAGGGAGGCCGGCCCCTCCCCAGTCAGCCTAGAGGCTTGGGAGGCGGGGTCCTCCCTTCCCACGCTGCGACTCACCACAGGGATCCTGTCAAAAACAACAAACAGAATGTACCTCGGGGAGCAGGTGGGCCAGGCTGGATGGTAAGAAGGCGACCAGGCCAGTGAGTGTTTACTCGGCAGGCTCTGCCCTGGCTCAGCAAGAGCTTGGCGGGACCCTTTTCCATCAGCTCAGGAACCGGGCAGGGCAGGCCCCTCGCCTAGGGATGGTGGGGCCTGGGGCCACCCGGATCCAACCCTGCCCACACCCACCCAGCCAGATACAGAGGGAGGAAGCAGAAGGCAAGGAGGGGCTGGGGGCCCCTTTTGACCTGATCTGGAAGGCAGGGCGCAGGCGGGAGCGGGGCAAGCAGGAGGGAGCTGGGGTCCCCAGTGCCGGGCTCTGGCTCCAGCTCCGGGCTGGCGGCCTCTGCTGAGCAAGTCCTAGTTTGGAGAGCGAGCGGCTGTGGCTGCTCCTCTGCCCCCTCCCCCTTGTCACCCTCCTCCCCGCTGCCTGAGACAGCCGTTATGAAAATAACCCGATTGGTAACCGAACGCACTTCCTCTCCCAGCGGCAGCTCCAGGCCCTGCAGCAGGCGGCGGGTGGGCGGGCGGGCGCACTGCGCACGAGCATGCCTCCCAGCTCCTTTTCCCAAGGTCCCCAGAGTCAGGCTGGGTGACAGCCCAGTGGCCTGCCTTCCACCTGGCGCCCAGTACAGCCCAGCCCACGCCTCAGCTTGGGAACGAGGTCTAAGGAGGGAGAAGTGGAAGCCAGGCCCTTTTAGGGAGGGGGCCCCCCACTAATGCCCCCTATTTAGCCACCTAATGCCTTCTCACGCCCACTGGACAGGTTTTCTGAGGTCTGGGGAAGCTTATCACGCTGGCTCCAGACAAAACCACCACAAAAGTAAGTTTCTGTGGCGTGTTTCACAACTTACAAAGTACTTTTTCACCAGCATTACAGACGGGAGGCTGGGTTTTTTCCCTGTGTGGACCGCATTACTGTCCCACTGAACAGACAGGGCACTCGAGGCTTGTGGAAGCCTGTGACTGCCCACGACTCAGAATTGGTTGAGGTGGGACTCCAGCTTCTCGTCTTCTGGCTCTGCCAAGCTAAAGAATGCCCAGAAGAGACCAGTCCGTGTTACATGTATCCTGACCAGAATGCCACCCTCCCAGCTCCCAGTCCTGCCATGGTGCCCTAGGGTCTGGGGAGTGGCAGCTGTCCAACTGCCTGATCCGAAGACCTCTTTAAACTCTTTTTTTTTCTCCTTTGAGATGGAGACTTGCCCTCTCACCCAGGCTGCAGTGCAATGGCGTGATCTCGGCTCACTGCAACCTCTGCCTCCCAGGTTCAGACGATTCTCCTGCCCCAGCTTCCTGAGTAGCTGGGATTACAGGCACCTGCCACCATGCCCAGCTAATTTTTGTATTTTTAGTAGAGATGGGGTTTCACCATGTTGGCCAGACAGGTCTCGAATTCCTGACTTCGTGATCTGCCCGCCTTGGCCTCCCAAAGTGCTGGAATTACAGGCGTGAGCCACCGCGCTCAGCCCTTTTTTTTTTTTTTTTAAATGAGGGAAGGGGCAAGGCGCTTCCACACCATCCACCAGGAACCTCCATGTGTTCAGCTACTTGAAAGCTCCCAGACCCCTTTACACTCTCAAAATTGGTGAAGATCCCAAAAGAGTTTTGTTTTAGGGGGTGACAGCTATTAATATGTATCATATCAGATATTAAAACCGAGAAATGCTTAAGATATTTATTAGCTTAAAAACAATAAGCCCATTACATGTTAATATAAACAACACTTTTATAAATAATTTTCTAAAAAAAAGTTAGCAAAAAGAGTGGCATCATTTTACATTTTTTGCAAATCTCTTTAATGTCTGACCTAATAGAAGGCAGCTGGATTCTCGTGTCTATCCCTGCATTCAATCTGTTGTGACATGTTGTTTTGGTTGAAGTATGTGAAGAAAATTCTGCCTCACACAGACATGTAGTTACAAAAAGAAGGAATATCTTTAACAGCCTTTCCAGGTAATTATAGATTTTCTTTGCTACTACACCAAAATATGACAAATGATAGTTTCTCAAAGGTTAGTAGCAATGTGGACTCTAAAACCGAATCAGGCCAGGCACAGTGGTTCACGCCTGTAATCCCAGCACTTTGGGAGGCCAAGGCAGGCAGATCGACTGAGGTCAGGAGTTTGAGACCAGTCTGGCCAACATGGCTAAACCCCGTCTCTACTAAAGATACAAAAAAAGAAAAAAAAAAAAAAAATTAGCTGGGCATGGTGGCAGGTGCCTGTAATCCCAGCAACTTGGGAGGCTGAGGCAGGAGAATCGCTTGAACCTGGGAGGCAGAGGCTGCAGTGAGCCGAGATCACGCCATTGCACTCCAGTCTGGGCCACAGAATGAGACTCTGTCTCAAAATAAATAAATAAATAAATAAATAAACCATGTCAATGAACTTTTCACTGGACTACCTTGCATTTTGAATTTTGTGACATCAAGCACTGGTCACTGGTGCTTGACGTTACAAAATTTGATGTTACCGATTTACTGAGTTATGCAGATCTTCCAAATGGTGACACATTTTATTTTATTTTATTTTTTATTTTTATTTTTTGAGATGGAGTCTGGCTCTTGTTACCCAGGCTGGAGTGCAATGGCGCAATCTCAGCTCACTGCAACCTCAGTCTCCCAGGCTCAACTGATTCTCCTGTCTCAGCCTCCCGAGTAGCTGGGATTACAGGCATGGGCCACCACACTCGGCTAATTTTTTTATTTTTATTTTTAGTATAAACGGGGTTTCACCATATTGTCCGGGCTGACCTCGAACTCCTGACCTCGTGATCCGCCCGCCTTGGCCTCCTAAAGTGCTGGGATTACAGGCGTGAACCACCGCACCTGGCCTTATTTTATTTTATTATTATTTTTTTGAGACAGAGTCTTGCTCTGTCGCCCAGGCTGGAGTGCAGTGTTGCGATCTCAGCTCACTGCAACCTCCTCCCAGGTTCAAGCAATTCTCCTGCCTCAGTCTCCCGAATTGCTGGGATTACAGGTGTGTGCCATCACATCCAGCTAATTTTTGTATTTTTAGTAGAGATGGGGTTTCACCATGTTGGCCAGGCTGCTCTCAAATTCCTGACCTCAGGTGATCTGCCTGCCTCAGCCTCCCAAAGTGCTGGGATTACAGGTGTGAGCCTCCACCCCTGGCCCAAATGTTATTATATAATACCAAAAATCACACCAACTTTACTACTGATCTCATCAGAAAAATTTTAAGTCCAAGGAAGCTGTCAGGCTCTAGGAAGTGAATAAAAAGGTTTCTAAAATTCTCATTTTTGTTCAAAAGCTCAAATTCTATCATTGGCAACAAATATTTTATTAATTTATTTATTTTAAAAAAATAAATATAGAGATGAGGTCTCTTGTGTTGCCCAAGCTGGTCTTGAACCCCTGGGCTCAAGTGATCCTCCTGCCTCGGCCTCCCAAAGTGATAGGATTACAGATATGAGCCATGGTGGCCCATGCCTGGCAACAAATAGTGATACCGTTTTGGAAGTGACAAACTCATGTCATTCACTTTTGAGAAAATGTCTGCCAAATACCTATATCTGACTAGTTTGTCTATCAGGTGTCCAAGTACAAATGGTGTTTTTTTTTTTTTTGGCGGAGTCTTGCTCTGTTGCCCAGGCTGGAGTGCAGTGGCACTATCTCGGCTCACTGCAAGTTCCGCCTCCTGGGTTCACTCCATTCTCCTGCCTCAGCCTCCCGAGTAGCTGGGACTACAGGCGCCCGCCACCACGCCCGGCTAATTTTTTGTATTTTTTTTAAGTAAAGACAGGGTTTCACCGTGTTAGCCAGGATGGTCTCGATCTCCTGACCTCGTGATCCGCCTGCCTTGGCCTCCCAAAGTGCTGCGATTACAGGCGTGAGCCACCGCGCCCAGCCGCCTCGTCTCCCCAAAGCATGGCACACAGCGTGAGCCACCGCCCAGCCCTAAATGGTGTTCTTTTTTTTTTTTTTTTGAGGACAGAGTCTCGCCTGTTGCCTATTAGGGAGGAGGCAGTAAATAATGTTGATCTCAGTCGTACCGTGTGTCCCTGTTGCCCAGGCTAGAGTGCAGTGGCCGGATCTCAGCTCACTGCAAGCTCCGCCTCCCCAGTTTACGCCATTCTCCTGCCTCAGCCTCCCGATTAGCTGGGACTACAGCCGCCCGCCACCTTGAGGGCCCGGCTAGTTTTTTGTTTTTTTGTTTTTTTGTTTTTTTTTTGAGACGGAGTCTTGCTCTGTTGCCCAGGCTGGAGTGCAGTGGCTGGATCTCAGCTCACTGCAAGCTCCGCCTCCCCGGTTTACGCCATTCT